GTTTTGCTGGATTCAAAAGCATAACATATGTAAGTTTAAATTTTGATTTGTTGTATTCATATTTATTATATATCACATATAGTTACTCAACATCCATATTTATTCTATAGCTACTAACGCTTATGATGAACTGGTAGATATAATTCATTATTCACAGTTTAAGAACGAAGATGTCATTACGAACATTCGCAGGTTTAGGAAGTATCATCAGAGATTATTATTACTTCCTATTAAGTTACGGAGAATTAACATTTCTGATAAAAAGACGCCATCTAAATTAAAAAATACTAAAGAGGCGTATTATTTATCTTTAACCGATATTATTTGGTATTCTCTTAATAACCCTACTCTATTTAGCAAATGTACTTTGGTCCAGGCCAACAAGTCAAATAAAATCAAGAACTGTGGCATGGAAATATATGGAAAGAATCTCCATGTTTTGGGTATGCATCTATACAGATCGATAGAAGTATGTTTATATTATTTATAAGTGATCAATAAACAATAGAACAATGGTACTGAAAACAATGATTATTTTATTAAAATTATTAAAAATTTAGCAACGTATAATAGCGGAGATTTCATAGTTTATAGAGATTTGAGTACAAGAAAGTTAGGCCAGATCCTAGCAATGGTGAATATAAATGATGAGCTCAAGATAACAATTCAACGCATTTTAAGATTCTCTGAATTACCGAATAATTTGCAAAGTAACAGTCGAAGAGAAAGATCATCTAATGAAGTGTGGTTGTTAGACCGAGAAGTAAAAAATGCGATCATAACTGTTGGATTACAAGAAATCATTAAACATGCTACTATTGTTATTCTTTATAATGAAGATACTATTAACATTTCTTCTTCAATTTTTATTCGTGAAATTTTATATAAATACAAAGGATATTGGAAGTTAAAAAATGTCATCTATTCTTATTATTATCCTTTAGAGTTTGCTTCGTTAGAGTTACCAATAACTTCTCTTCTAGTCTATAAACTGTACATTGATTTCTATTACAATGACTTTAAAACTTTTTGTAATATTTACCATTCACTGGGAGACATCTATATCCAAATTGGAAATTTACCTTTTGATAAAAGAAAAGACCTCAAAAATCATTTCGTTATCGGTTTCGTCTCTTTTGGCGGTAATTTCAATGAATTTATTGAACCCTTTGTTGACGAAATGAAGCAGCTTAAAAATGGAATAATAATGAATATACAAGGAAAAGAATGTATTGTTATTGCAAGTCTTGGAGACATGACTGCTGATTTACTACAGGGCAATGATTTGGTTAGAGTTAAAAGACATGATGTTATAAGGGGATGCTATACCTGTAATGCAACAAAGGACTCATGGACTTCTGAAGGGCTCGATTTATCATTAATTTCTCATTATCATCATCTTTCAGATAGCCAATTCGAAGAAATTTCCATAGCACAAACATTAATGAGACGTAAAAAACTTGCAACGGAATATGGATTACAATTATAGCTGCCAATACTCAATCAGTTGAAGAGAGAAAGGCATCTCCAAATACCTCAAGATATCCATCACCTTACGGCTGGTAAAGTGCTAAGATTTCTCAAAATAACAATCGAAACACTTTCACCGGAGGAAAAGTGGCATTCATAAAGTATTGGAAAGCATTTGAATATCCAAGAATGTGGCAAAAGTTACCAAATCCAATATCTCACATAGATAGTTTTTTCATAGTGGATTGCCTGCAATTAAATATGATGATTCCATTTATTCTTAACTGATTCTTAAAACTATCACACTTTAAAAAAACTGAGCTTGTATCTTTTCAACATTGAACAGGCATTCCCTGAAGTGATTTGGCCATGAAACTTTGGGTAAAGTGTTGGACATTGATGGTAAAAACAACAACAATAGCATTCAAATGATACTTTACAACAGATGACTATATTATTTTGCATGAATGCTTAGATAACGAAAGGAATATATTTTCACAGGTATTTAATTTATTTACATGTTCCATTATATTTATTGTTTGTTATATTCATTATATTACACACAATTTATTATTGTTTATTAATCACATTTAAAATTTTACATAATATATTGTTTATTTAACAATAAATATAATACAGGCGTTTAGAGAATTTGAGAATCTTCCTAATTTATATGCCAATTATCATTTAGTAATACATGCAAAAAATTACGCTACCTTGTTAAATACTAGCATATGTACGAAAGAAATGGAACATAAAATTTTCAAGAATATGGTATTATGGACAAATTAGAAAAATGTGAAGTTTGACTTGCTAAAACGATATATGATATTGTTTGAGATGCGTCACCTACCTGACGGAAGAATTGATAAACATTTTACTTCCACCAACAACTCTCTAACAGGACTCCTGTATCACTTAAAGCGATTGATAAGTGATTTGTTCATTGTTGATAAATCTATTAAACCCGAAGATGAAAATGAAGGTTTGATTGAAATTCTATTAATCTGTGCAAACTCTTTCTTGTTATATGCTAGTTTTAATTATCTTATTCATTTAGGTGAAAATATTTCAAGTGTATACTTGAATAAACATATACTAAAAAGAAAGGTTGAAGAAATATTGCTGTATGATGCCAATTTTCAGAAAGAGCTGTTATCTGTATATTAAAATATAGGCTGAACTTGCTTCTTTTTTAATAGATGATGATGGGATTAATAAGCAATTTTGTTTGCATGTTGGGGTAATTATCAGCATATTCGAAGAAAATGATAAAAGTTTTGCAATTTTACGATTAATATTTAGCTATAAAAGAAACTATCAACGCTTTACTTTTATTATAATCAATAGGTTTGAAATCACTAATCAAACAAAGTTTGAATGTCCGGTTTATAGACTCTAAGATAGAAAAACAATCCACCCTATAAGCACAGTAAATACAAATGTTACTGCACATTTTATTCATTATTGTAACGATGAATGCAATGGTATTCATGAATTTGGAAATAGTTTATATATAAGAAACATGTATTTCTTCAAAGCAGCATAATATTAGTCATTACTTCACTACGAAATTTTATATACTGTATAACATATTTGTAATGAAATATTGAAAATACATTTACAAAATATTCAATACATTTATTTCAATTGTTTGCGAAATATTTAATACATTTTTTTAAATTATTAACGAAATATTCACTTAAAATTTAATAATATATTTATTAGTTTTTATAATATCTTTAAAACGCGTTTACAAGATTTTATTAAATTCATTATATAATCATTACTAAATTTTAACTAAATATTTTCAAAATATTTAATCATTAGTTTATTACCATTTGTTATGTTTTAATAACTTAGATAATATATTTTTTATAAATCTTCACTATTCCGAAACAATCATATATGATGGTCTTAATGCTCAGTAACTGCATATATTCTAATGCATTAATGTAGTAACTACATATAGACTAAATCGTATTAGATTTACTGCTAAATTCTATACTATTTTATAATGGATTTATTACTATTTGGTTTCTATTTTGTCACTAAATCTGGATTTCAGTAAAGTATTTGATGTAACTGCTATTATAAATGAATGAATAATAATTTCTCTTATTTGTTTATTATTAAAAACTTTAAAAATAAATAAGTCTAATTTTTCACAAATATTTTTTACTCTAAAAAATAGTTTGGAATTTACAGTTATCAATATTTGCTTCAACTTTATAGTTTATATAGTAACAGATTCACATTTCTCATTTTCTGTTGATATTTCTTGATATATGTCATATATTTATTTTAAGTTTATTTTCAAAATTATTATGATTAAAAGACATTTAAAATTATTTAGCTCATATATTTATTTAAATCAATTTTCCTTTTTTTTCATCTTCAAAATAAATTAAGCCTTTTTGAAATAGTGTTTCTTTAATATTAGAGTTTTTTATAAAATTTACTTTAAAAAATATATCTTTATTTTTTAATATTTCATTAGATAGAATTTAATAAATATTTTTAATCTCTTTTTGTTAAGTAATAAGTTATAAGTAATTATAATAGTTTATTTTAAATTATTAAGAAAAATAAAAAATATAAAAAAATAAATATAAAATTACAGTTTTATCTTATTGCAAATTGTAATAATAAAATATATATATATAAAATCAGTTTATCTTGTTGAATTATACTTATATATTTAAATTGCTAAAAAAAAATATAAAAAATTAAATATAAAATTACAGTTTTATTTCATCACAAATTGTATTAAAAAGAAAATAAAAATAAAAATCAGTTTTATCTTACTGAATTGTATCTATATATTTAAATTTAAAAAAATAAATATAAAAATATAAAAAATTATTGTTGTATTTATGAAAAAAATTATATATTTATTCAATACAAATGAAATTTGATACATAATTATTTGATATCTACTAAACAAATTTAATTAGTTTTATAAAGACTACTTCATTCACCTAAAGTATTAGAATTTATCTTGAAAGAAAAAATTAAATAAAATAAAAAATAAGTCTATTTTATTTGATCAAAGTATTATAATTCAACTAGAAAAAAAAATTAAATAAAATAAAAAGTAAAAAAAAAACCATTATTTTAATTCTTTTATTTATCTTTAAAATAAATAAAGTTAAAATCAAAAAGTATCAATATAATGTTTTTATATTATTTACAAAAAAAAAAAAAATTATAACAAAAAAATTAAAATTAAAAAAAATTTTTTTTGGAATTTTTTTTTGATATAATACAATATCTATATACAAAAAATAAATTATAACAAATATAATAAAATGAAGGATCATCTAAAATAAAATCATAAAAAAATTATTTTAGTTTTTTTTGACTTACAAAAATGATTGTTAAATTTAACATTTTTTAAATGTGTTATAGAAAAATTTATTTCTAATTTTATCCTAATTATTTCAAATAAGTTATAAGTTTATTATAATTGTGAAAATATATGAATATATTATATTCTATACTTATTAATTGCTTATATTACAAATTTTTTAATATTTATTAATTAATCCATATTAATCTGTATGATACATTTTAATTAAGCAAAAAAGTAAGTAAATTTAATAATGACTATCATCAAATTTTTATTCAACTATATTTCATTTTTAAATAATATTAATATTTATTAAATTAGATTAATTTTTAATTAAATATATTATAAAATTTATATGATAATTTATATTTTAAATAAATTAAAAAAATGTGTTATAAATTTATCATTTTTAAATAAAATTTTTTTTGATAAATTATTTTAAATTAATTTATAATAATAAGATAAATTTAAAATGAAAACAATTAATAAATTTTTTTTTAATTTGAGACTATTATTTTAAAAATAGAGTTTAATATGATATAAAAAATTTAATATTTAAATAAAAAAAAAATATTAATTTCAATAAGTTTTTATATAGTATTAAGTTTCTGCAATATTGCAGATTTTTGAATTGAATTGCATATAGTAATCCACAATTCTGCAATTTTAATCACATGATTTGTAATATAATTTGTGTAAATACAAAATCGTAAATTACTTTGGATCTAATGATTGGATTTCAATGAATTTTATATCATTCGATTCTTCTCTATAAGAGGATTCGAATGGTATAAATTTCATCTTTTTAGCATTAATTTTGATGGAGAAATAATTACACAAGCATTTAAAAATTTGGAAATAAAACATGATTCAATGATTGTATTTTGATGAAGTTTATATAATTTGATTCACTTCTATGAGAGGATTTGAATAGTATAAATTTATCTTTCTAGCACTAATATTGACAGAGAAATAACTACACAAACAATTAAAAAATTTGGAAACGAAACATTATCTAATGATTGGATTTTGATAAAGTTTATTTCATTTAATTTGTTACTATAAGAGGATTTGAATAGTATAAATTTTATCTTTTTAATACCAATATTGACGGAGAAATAACTACACAAACATTTAAAATTTTTGGAAATGAAATATAATCTAATGATTTGATTTTGATGAAGTTTATATCATTTGATTCATCTCTATACGAGGATTTGAATATATAATTTTTATATTTCTAATACTAATATTGACAGAGAAATAACTACACAAATATTTAACAATTTTGAAAATGGAATAATATCTAGTAATTGGATTTCAATGAATATTATACCATTTTGATTCGATTTAATTAGAGGTTGAATGGTAATAAAATTAGCATTCTAGCATCAATATTGGTGGTATTATATTTTAATAAATTTAAATATATATTTTGGTCAAAATTATATTAATTTTGGCTGAAATTGCAGAATCAGACCTTAATTTTCACAATTATTTGCAATATCATAAATATTATAAATTGCAATTATTTTGCAATTGTCTATTTGTGAATCCATCTTTAATTATAATTAATAAAATTAGTGTAGTTAATAAATTATAATATTTAATATAATAATTAGTATAAGTACAATGTAGTGATACCTGACAAAATTACCTTTCTTAATATGACGAAATTAACAAAACCAAAAATGACGAAACTAGTATTTTATTAATTATGAAATTATTTTACTTAATTGCTGAAATTATATTTAACTTGATCTAAATTCCTTGAATTAAAATATATTAAAAAATATAATAATTTTATATTATTCATATAAAAATATTAAAGAGATAAAATTTTTGACGAAATTACAATTTTTTAAAAAAGAGTTTAGTCAGGTATCACTAGTACAATGTTAATTTATTTACAGAAGGTGATCAAATTTAAAATTAAATATAAAACAAGTTTTAAATAAGTGGTTAGATTTTTTCTATTTATTATTATTCAATTAGTAAACAAAAAAAAATAAGCCTTTATTTTTTTACATATTGTTCAGATATCTGTAACATCTGAATATTTTGTATCTGACAGATATTCAGATAGACCCATTCACGAATTTAACAATATGTCTATCATTTTCATTAAAGATATATGAAAGGACATACAATTAGAATATTATAAAAATTTATCAAAAGTATATCCTAAAGAATTAAAATAATTATTATCGTGAAATGAAAATATAATAAATTATTAATTTTTTTTAAATTTTTTTTTGTAATATTTAATAATAAAGTAAATATAATTTAAATTTTATTTATTAATATATTATATTTATTCAATTTTTTTCAGTTTATTTTAGTTTGAAAAGTGGCTGGATAATTTTGATTGCCCTCTGTAGTATATAAAGTTCCAATCTTAGCTATATTTATTACAAATAATAATAGCTATATAATTCAAATTCAATTTTCATTAGATGCATTACAGAAATTGGCCAAATGTACATACATTAAATTGATAAAGATAACTATTTAAATCAAGTAAAAAAATTTCTAATTTATCCTATCCAATTATATCTTTTCTAATAAACTTAAAAATATTATTTTATTCTTGTGATATTTTAATTTTTTAAAATAAATATATTATAAAGTTATTATACTGTATTTACATTAAATATTTATAATATATAAGAAAAAATATATTATTAAAAACAATTAAAAATTGTTTATATAAGAAAACTTTGATTAGATAGATCATTAAATCCAATTAAAGCTAGTTATATTCTAATAACCCATATAATTAATAATTATTTTCAATATGCAAGTAATAACTATTATTAAGAGAAATTATTAATACAATTATTTTACTAAAAAATATATTTGCATATGAAGTAAAAATTTAATTATTTGTAATTTTCTCTCTTTATAAAAGCATCCCATATAATAATTAGATTGTTTAGATTTAATATAAAGACCAGAACATTTGATGAATAAGTGGAGATGAAGAAATAGTATATACCATTGTAATCAAATTTTATTAAACGAAATATTTAGTTTATTCTTTACAGGTTATTTTTGTAAATTTATGCATGTATGTATAAAAAATATGAATTAAGCTTAATTTTATCATGATGTTGTATTTTGTTATGGTAGCTCACTCATTATATTAAACGTCCACTCACGAATACCGGTATAAAATAATATATATCAAAAATTTATATAAGACAATGTAAATGTGACGCCGTGCATCAATTTTACCACTTATTTTTTCTTAGAGCGATATTATTAACTTATTACAGGTACCTTCTCCATTCACAGATCGAACTCGAACAATCATGTAATTCTTATAATGAATCGATCCGACAACTACAAGAAATAAAAAGATCATAATAAGAAGGAACAAACGGAATGAATATTATACTACCGCTGAACTCGTTTATATAAAACACTTTGGAAATTGTTATCATGAATATTAAATCTTTAGTAAGTCAACACTTAGTGTGATCGACTCAAGTTATATTGTTTTAGCAATTTCTAGCCACAATGCCACAATTCATTTATACATATACAGTATGATTATCAGGTTAAATTATCAACCTTATCCACATTTATATTCAACTTTTCGATCCTATTTTTTTTTCAAAACATTCATCTTTTTCTTGAAAAAATGGTTAAAAGAACTGCTAGTCAAATCCTTGAGAGTCCTCTCAACAAGGAAGCCAAGTTAGATGACTTTAATATTTGGGGATACTTTATATCTTCACGCGGGGTTATTACACTAGAAGAAAAGTTTTATATGTTTGGTGATCACGAGGAGTTGAAGGGGAATGTAATTATAATAGCATTATTTGATTTAATTGGTTTGTTTGAACTAAAAATATTTTATCATAAACATTATTATTTATAATATTTATATCAGTACATACATTTAGAAGGATGTGGAGAGATATTCTTCGCAGGAATACACCATGTGAGATATTATCGCTGAAATTCGTAATTCGTTATTTACCAATTCATTTTCAAACTTTTTGCTCTGTTATAAATTAGGATGAAAAAAACGGGGCAACATTTGAAAGTTTATGGTTTGTGAATGGTATAATCTGATTACAGTTTATACATATTATTTATATTTGAATATAAAATTTTAAATATTCAGCCAAGATGGAATAAATATAAAAGAAAAGAAATGGGAAAAGGTATCTCTGAAAGAGCGTTTTCAGTTACAAGATGGAATGCTCTTACAATTTAAACGTCATAAAGAATTTGAAATATGTAATTACAAATTATTATTATAAGGGTAATCATGACATTCATTCGCAGTAATTTTAACATTATATCCATCGTTACATTCATTTTATTTAGATGAATTTCGAACCGCTAATTTATCACAGTGTGGTTGTGATAAAATAACAGTAAGTTGTTGTTAACTTTAAATTTCTGAATTCTAAGGACTAACATTACGTATTTTGACGCGCTCAATTTCCTTTCATACAAACTTTGAAATTCCAATTTATAATTTGTTTTATCTTCTATTGTTATTGAACCATATTAATTTTATTTTTTCATTTTAGAATTACGATAGTCAAGGTATAATTCACTCCACATAATAACTGGTTAAATAATTGAAATATGAATACTTTAATAAGTTATAATTTCTAATTTGGTATATAAATTAGGTTGTTCAACGGGAAATTTAAGTGTAGTGAAAAACAAATGTTTCCTACACAAATACGAGTTCATAAAAAGGCTCGGAGAGTATATATTATTATATAAATATATGCTATTTTATTTTATAAATTGCGATCTAATGTATTATAATTTTTAGCGGTGGTTTTGGAAATGTCCACCTTGTTAGGAATATTTATAATGGGCAACTATTAGCGGCGAAAATTTCTAAAGCTTCATTGCGGATGGAGTATATTGCAATGAAAGAGTTGCAAGATGTGGTCAGTTAATATATATATTTAAACTTAATTTAAGAATATTACTAATATATATGTTGTCATTATAGGCCTGTGTCGTGAAAGCGCGTGAAGGGTTTCACGATACTAAATCTAATAATTATTATTTGATAATGGATTGGTATAATGTTATGTTATTATATATAATTTGATCTAAATTAATAAGCTAACTCTACGTTATAATTTTATTTTTATAGGGTCAAGCACAATTCATTATCGACATGGATTCAGAAGCGAAGCCAAGATGATGGTGAAATTTTGAGAAATATCATAAAATGTCTTGTGCCTAGTCTGAAAGTTAGCATTAAATTATTAAGCGTGTTACATTATTTTATCTCTATTTCATATTTTTGTGATTAAAATATTAATTTATTTTATAGTTAATCCATGATAATGGATGGCTCCATAGAGACATTAAGCCAGACAATATTCTGGTAGAAAATGAAAGTCCTCTATCGTTGATAATTACAGATTTTGGATTAAGTCGCAGACTTAGTTCCAATCCCAGTGATGCAAGTGGTACACCATTGTATTGTAAGTAATTTAATAAAACAAATTTTAATTATTTTAACCATCTAATATTTATATATACTTAAGGTGCACCTGAGGTTTTGCAAAAGAAACCTCAAAGAGAGTCTGCAGACTGGTGGTCACTGGGACAACTAATCTTTAGTATTTATAAGGGGGCTTGTTTGTTGCGACCTGTGAAAGTAGGTTTACAGGAAATATTGTTAGAAATTGATCACAGGTTGCAGATAATTAAGGACGGGAACGAACCAAATATAAATAAGATGATAAAAAGCGGGAATGCGGATGGTAATTAAAACTATTTTATATTTATTATTAATATTTAAAAAAAAATCATATATTAACTATTCCTGATTTCATAATTTTTAGTTGCAGAATTCATCTTAGCTTGTCTTAAATTGGATGAGGAAGAACGAACATATAATAAAATCATTGTAAATATAGTTTCGTTTTTCTAATGAATTTTTATCAGATGCTAATACTAAGTATAATATTCTTAATATATATAGAAATGTAAAATATTTAATGAAAGGGTAAAACTGGATGGTAAAGAATGAGACAAAATTTTTGTATCATATTCGCAATGAATACATCACAAAAAAAAAACAAAACGAGGGAAGTATATTAATAAAACGGGGAATAAAATTCTCAGATTTTAAATAACTTCATAATATGCCTAGACAATGAAATTATTTTTGTTGAATTGCGATAAGCTTTAATTCGCTATATTTAGTGAATTAATAATAATTACAACTTGATTGAGCTAATATACTCTCTCGAGCTTTACTTTATGTGTTGATACATGACGTGCTATTAGAGCTTCTAAATTGACTTTGTCCGCGAAAATAAATTGGTAATTTATAATTAGAATACAACGCTCTTCTTACTAAAGAGAGTACATTCATTTACATAATTCCGTTTTAAGTTCCATCCATGTATTTGTAAATCCTAATTTATGAAAAAAAGGTCCGAAAGACGAAATTATTTCTTTATTAGGTATTTAAATTGTAATCTTAAAGACATAAATTTGTAAATACAACACATTTAAATATGTTCAATATTTGAAATTATTCTCTTATTCTGAATTATACTTTTTGCATATCCAAACTTCATTTTGTTATTAATAAGTTTGAAAGATAAATTGAGTATTCCATCAGTCCATTGATAGATACATAGTATTATAATTTTATCTTTTTCAGATTCGTGAGTAAATGATCGGCAAAAATAAAAGTTACAAGACAACCTGAATATAATTATTTTATATATATCACTTTTGTATATTATTTATATATTCAAAGATTATATAAAAAGCGATAGTCAGTATAACCAGTCGGTCAACCGGTCGGTCAAAGGTCTCTAACCGACCGTTGACTGACCGCTAACTGACCAAATGTGCTTTAACTCTTCATTTATAGCCGGAATTATCTCTAAACTGAAAAGAAAAGCAGGAAAATTTGTCACGATTATACTTTCATTTAGCGACAAATGCGCAATTATCAGAACCAAGATTCGAATTATTAATAAAAATAAAAATATTATTAATTAAAAAAATATATATCTTTTAATTCAACAACATCTATCAATAGGAAATGGTTTCGGAAACGTTGTTCAGTTCGGTAACGAAAGAGACCAATCATGTATCGACTTTAATTTTGATCGGGGCTAGTATATCGATATATATTTTTCAGGAAATAAAGTAAAAATAATTTTCGGTTAAAAAATTATTATTTTAAAAATTTTAGCTATACTTCAGGGAATATTATTGAATTCACAAAGATTCCTCTGGAAAGGTGGAACAATATGTATGAACATTGCTTCTAATTTCGACAAGGGCACAATTTTAAACGTCATATATTTAGAATTTTTTTTTGCATGTTACGGTATATGCATCCTTCTTCCAAAGCTTTTCATCAATAACAAACCATTACTATGTATGTAACTGTGTAGCGTTGATCGATTTATTTGGGAATTTTTGAATGACTTTATTCTAATTATTTATGACATTTCCCTAATGCGGTTAGCCATTTAATTTTTTGTAGTGTCACAAAATGTGTATAATCTGTATAAAAGCTATCACTTTCTGACAAAAACTTTTTATCTCAAACAGCGAAAATTTCAAATCTATAAACATGAATAATTACTTCGAAAATATTGATGGTATTAAAATAAATATCTACAAATACGTTAAAAGTCCCATAAACTTAGCATTATCGTCAAATTTCCGAAAATCCTTATAAAGGTTCAACGTCATTAGATTATCCATTTGCCAAGATTTGTTTGCAAGAAAAGATATAATATCAAAGATACTTTATCCAAAGGTTACTTATGCACTTTGGAAGATATGACCAAAAATTAATTGAATTGTAAATCGAATATAACGTAACGTCGGACAATTGGTTTCCGAAAGAATTCTCACTTCAAAAAACAATTGTGTCATCATGGGGCAGTACTTTACCTATCTCTGTGTTTACATATTTATCAGAATAAGGGTTTAAACATTTAGCAAGTGAAATGTTTTTAAAAGGTAATGAAATGGAATTGTTCCACTTTCTTTCCGCCGGACCTCACGCGATAAATTATGCACCTGGAATGTTGAGAAAAAATTTAAAAATATCGAAAAATTGATTTAGATCATAAATTTACCCCTTTCCCGCCTAGACCAAAATTACAATTAGACTTAAAAGTGATCATCACATTCATCAACAACCCATTCCAGAAGAATACCCTCTAATTGTGTATTGGTACTTGATAAGTAGACATTAATAATTCTGATTTTAAAACGTACTAGAAATTATATATATATCTTTCCAGGTTACCAGCGTATTTGAAAATGTAGTTGACAAGATGTTTTTTTATTAAAAGGTTAACGTCAAAACCTACTTGTTGTGAAAATTGTTTGTGTTTAAAAAATGGGACCAAAGGATAGTTATGAAAACAACAGACATCTTAATGTGATTGCGAGAGCGATCCTGATATAGTCAACTTATGGAAAGAAATTGGATGTAATGACATACTGTATGTGATGATGTCAATGATATAGTTATCAATGAGCTCTTCTCATTCTTTTCGCAATTGTCCTCACCCATATCTGTAGTAATTGCAATTTATTGATAAATTTAACGCACTTCATATGTTCGGAGATACTTTTGGAATGTATTCTGTGCAATCCAATCAAAGAATGACCTTGAAAACATTTAAATCTTTGTAATTAAATTTATAGTATAATCTAAATACTTATGGAGCAAACTCAACTAGTATTTACATTATTTTCTAACTGAAGAATTTTAAATGACCAGAGCGAATATAATTTAATTCTATGACACTATGAAAATTTCTTGTCACGTGGGTGTCACGGTGTTTTTCTGTCAACTCGCAAACCAATAAAAAGCTCCGGTTTCCATTTCCTAGTCTTATTATTAACAAATTAAAATATTATAATTTTTAAAATTTAATAAATTTTGCAAAAAAAAAAAATCAAGAAAAATTGCATCTCCAAAATTCATTGAATTTTGTTCAGATCAGAGTAAATTAGATTATAGAATCGTTATCAATTTCATTTATCAAATTTGGTAATCCATTATAAAAAAGTTGATCCGTAGTTAGAATTCCAATTTTTTTCCGTAAGGGCTCATTTTCACTTGATTTTTTATAGAAGCCATGGAGAAATAATAGAAATATTTAAGCAAATATTTTTTTTATAGTACTCATTAACTCTGCTTGTTTTTTTTTTACCCCCTGATTGGTAAATTGTCCATAATGCAAAAATTGTTTTCTTTGTCACTCTGATTGGATGTATCGATCTAAATTACTTATTGATTTATAATCTTAGTTTCAATCTTTGATTTATTTATTTTACATACTACATATTCTGATTAATCGCAATTTTTCGTCTTTAAAATAATTAACATGCATTTTTTAATTTTGATCTCTTTGTCACGTTTTTGTTTTTAAAACAATTGGTAAAAATAATTTTTTCGTAACGGTTCTTTCTTCGTTTTACTAATGATTGAATCTAAAGTAGATTCGCGATAATCATTATCATGCAATAGCGAGGAATAGCACAGCTAAAGTAAATTATATTTTAACTATTACCGAAGGTTATTGAACTAAATTCCTCAAAATTTTTGATTGTTGAATTATTGCACACAATTACACTTTCATTACGGAATCTTTATCTTCTATGCAATTAAAATGGTAATTGTATGCCATTTTGAGTTTTTAAAGGCCAAGCAATTACATTATCATATATATTACTATTGTTTCCTTCATTTAAGAACGGCATAGATAACGTTGATAACTTACTGTATTACTCAATTACAAAGCCTTTTTATAACTAAACCTTAAATCGGGTCTCAAAGTTGTTATCAATGATCTATAAAGTTACCTAAAAACTGTGAATAAGATTATAAATAAGCAGGAATTTTTTCTAACCCACTTGATCTTAACATTTCCCAATAATAATAATATACGAAAAAATGTATCAAAGAAGACAAAATCAACGAAGACAACAAAATGCAAACAGAGTAATTCATCGAAGAAATCTTCGAAGGCGCGTTCGATTCATTAATAACCAAAATACTTTGAATCGAATTGCAATCATTCCTCACCAAATTATAAATAACAATCCTATTCTGAATCAATTTTTCAATGGATTTACTTTTCCTTAAAATCTCCTTTTGATAATATAATAAAAATGTTAAATGAGGCAGACATATCGTATCGTAATAGGTAAGATAAGTTCATGTAAATAAAATAATCTTTTTCGTCGCGTTAATGTTAATTATCTAATTATCTTCATAGATCTACACTTTCGTTTTGCCCGCATTCGATTTAATTATTATATTCAACAAGAAAATTTAAAAGTACATAGCTTTTTAACTTTATACAATTTATCTTATAAAGCATATTTAAAAAAAATATTTTTGAATTTTGATCGACAGTGGAATATAATGTAATTAAAAGTTTGTTTGTAACACATTATGATATGATGCAATATATATCTTTTTTTTGTTATTATATTTGGTACAGTAACACGAAAAAAAAATTTAGAAGACAATCCCTACATATATTAAAATCCAAATAGGCATGATCTTCATTCAAGTGCCAATTATTATTATAATTAAAGAACTTTTTATGAATTTTTATAAAAGATTGGAAAATGAGGAAATTATTATAAAATATCACATTCAAGGTGATATATCTCGTCAACATAAAAAACAGAAACAAAATAACATAAATGTAAATTTTAATAATAATAAATAAGCTTATTTACACGGGTAAGTAAAAAAAAAATTATAAATACAGCTATTATGCGTTAAATCAAAAAATTTTTGTAAATACAAAAAGAAATATCTTTGCTGTATTAATTAAGATTCATAATTTAAAATTAAATCCGATTTATAAAATTAGCTTTTAGGAATTTTTTTTCTTTTATCTTTATACTATATACTGTATATTA